GCAACTTTGCCCTCGCACTTTCGCCACACAGCCCCAAATCAGACATACTGCCAGTATCGTAAAAGTTAGCTGCAATGTTTTTACGAGTAATGAGGGCACTTTATTTTAAACAACCGTTATGTCATAATCAAATTGCATTATAAAAATATGAAAATATGAGCTCCAGACTTGCGAAGGACAAGTTTTAATTGCAAAGTTATTTCGCCTAATTTGTGAAATTTCTTACTCGATTGGACCAACAACAAACCAACATTTACATGAATATTTATATGCAAAAGCATGAATATCTCTATGCATATACGTGTGCATGCATTATTATTTTATTTGTTGTTAAAATATTTATTAATATAAATGTGTGTGTGTGTGTGTGTGTGTGTGTGTGAAGAGTGTGCATATATAAATGCCTGTATATGTGAATAATTCATTATAAAAGTTAATTATTTTATCAATGCAGCGCCAATCTTTTGATTATGCATAGTCAATACAATTGTCTGGTTGGCTTATTAAGGCTTATTTTATCATGTAATATTAAAATTCTTAAAACTTTATCATTCTTTTACATTATAGAGATTTTTCAAATTATAATTATAAATTTTTTTTATTATAAAAAATAAAATTATAAAACATAAAATACAAATAATGATATCCGAACGGATTAACATTATTACATGTATGCATATTTTAAGTATCTTTTCTCTTTGCTGACATATTCTTGTAATATGATGCACTATATATAGGGAATTGAATTTTTTTCCTTTTAATTTAAAGATAAGGATATAATTTGAAAAATAATACAGTTTTCTATCTTATATTTCAGCCGAAATTTTGTCCATATTCTACGTAAACCTAACGTAGAGAATAATAGAAATAAAAACAAAACAAAACAAAATAGAATTTTGCCAAGGAATGATCTCGTTCCCCATAGCCGCTCTCCATATAGATCTAACAGGCAAGATTTTAGTAATATTCAAATTTGATTATTCCATTGGGAAAGTTAGATAAAAAAGTTTTACGTACGAAGATAGCGAGTGTTCTCTGTAAGCAGGTTATACCTTTCTTCGAAACTTTTGCGCCTTCTCCTCCGCCTTCTCCTTACTCGCCTACTCCTACTTCGCCGCCTCCTCCTTCTTTCCTTTTAATATTTTAAATTTGAAAAAAGACCAATAACCGCGAGCTCCTACTTATCTTATTAATATTAACTACGCAGCTCCACCATGAACGCGTTAGGAGCGCAGAAAACTTTAGCAGTCGACAACTTCGTAAAACACAGAATTATGTAACGCGCAGGAAACTTTCGATCTTCGTGCGGACTTCCGTTATTCGCCGACGCGCAGCTAAAATCACGGGGACACTCGGCAAGTGGATTCGCTTGATCTTCGCTGTGCGATCGTCGGTCCGTTTTGTCCCTCGGCTCCAGAAAAGTTCGGGAAATGAGGAGTCGCGATCTGGCAAGAGTGACGATCGATGGGACTCACAGCCACCGACGCATCGGCAACGGACGTCGCACGATAGGGTTAGCAGAGAGATTAAAAGGAAGTCATCTCCCTGCTCCGCTCGTCGTCCCCATCAATCATAATTATATCCTCTCCCTCCCACCCTCCTTCACTATGTCCCACTAACTCTCTCTCTCTCTCTCTCGCTCTCTCTATCTATCTCTCCCTCTGTCTCTATTTCTTTCTCTCTCTCTCTCTCTCTCTCTCTCACGCCCTCCCCTACAACAGCTCATAATTACTGCTCATGACTTTGTAGGTATGGCGCGCAGAGACAGGCGCGACGGACGGAGAAAAAAAAATACAGCCGAACACATTTGCCGTGAATATTCTTATTTCACCCGAAATCGTGGATGTAAAATAAGAAAACAAAATGGGCACCGAGTTGGGTGCTCGAGATTCAAGAGACGCGGCGAATAATTGCTGGTGCAGGCCTATTAGCGGGGCTACGTATTCCAGGATTCGAGCCTACTCGCCTTCCTCGAGTCTGCCTTTTTTCCTCCTTGCTCCGTCTCGCTCGTTGATGGGTGCACGCACGCATATAATGGAAGCCCTTCAAATAGCCCCCGCGAGCTCCATGTACACCTCCGCCAAGTCCGTGTGCTCCGCTCTTGGGTTACGTACGAGGTAGAGCCTAAGTTTATACGCGTGTGCGCGCTCGCTCGCTCGTACTTGCCTGTGTGCTACCTTACTCCCTCCCGTCCCACAATCCCAGTCCCACCCCCTTCCCCGCGCCTTTTCACCCGCTCTCTCTATCTCGTTTGCTCGCACGCGCTTCCCCTTCGCCCCTCGTCCTCCGTTTTTCAATTTCCAAGCTTTGCTCGTGCATCTCCCACCCACCCCCGCGCGCCATCTCGTTCTGGCTTTGATGAAGGGCCAGCAGCAGCTTTGTGCACCCTCTCAACCCTCCCACTCCCGCCTCACCTCACCACTCCCCGACTCCTCTTTGCATAGCTGATGCACGCTGAAACCGCGTACGTGCCTGCCAGCCCAGCCCATCTCCCCCCCCCCCCAGCCCCTCTATAGCCCCTCCCGCCCTACGACGGTTCATTCGCTCGAGCCTCCCGGGGCAGGTGGGGGTGGGATTCTCGAGCGAATGCGACACGTTCGTACAAGTGCACGTTTTGCGGGGTTGACGGAAGAGTGGGTTGACGGCCGTGGCGGCAGAGGGGGGAGGGCGCAAACCAAGTGAAAGCCCTAGTGCTGTACTTAAAGGCGTATACGGATGCAGGCACGAAGGACCCTGTGCCCGGACGTACTTTTTCACGATCCTATTCGCGATCCGTCGTCATTGGGAGCGTGACTCTGGAACGCGAGAAACTACGACGTCCTTAACGAGGCGCCAGGGGCTCTTGCTTTTCTTTTATTCCTTCCTTCTGCCTTCTGCTCGCTACTCCTTCAAGCCAATGAAGAGCCCCTATCCCATTTTCCATTTGACGGAAAAATTCTTGCGGAGGAGGACTTTGTACGGCCCCTGCTCGAGCACCACTTCCGCGCAACCCCGTGAAACTTTCGCGAAACTCGGCACTAATGTCCTCGGCTCATTTTACGTGGTACGCGATCGGACTCGCCGTATAAGCGAATCGCATAATTAAGGATTTTACATCCTCCGCGAAGATTTTGCGGCTGCAATATTTAACGTTCCGGAAGCGTGAAAATCGAGGGTACATTTAAGCGTGTCGGCCTGAAATTGCTTTAGAAACGCTTTTATCCCACTTTAATCCTTGTCATACTCTAACGATTTTTGTTAGACGATACGCCGATTATAGCTTCCAGATGGTCATTTAAATAAATAAACGAACGAACATGTTAAGTTTACTTTATTTGTAATGTCTATATTAGTTTGTGGATGATGCTCAATCGAGAGTTGATTGTGTTATAAAAAGTCGTTGGTGGTTTATTGATATTACATTGTGAAGATATTAAAATTTCTGTCCAACTACCATAATGACATCGTGAATGCCGTAGATATTTAAATATAATTTGTGTGGGGACAGAGCACGGAAAAGTGAGTGAAATCGGCCAATAGGGCAAGTCTCACTGGATGTAAATATGAGAATTACATGCGGAAGTGGAAAATCAAGGTTTTCCAAGTTAATGTCAGCCCATTATTCGTCTTCGTGCTCGCTTGATGATGAAATAAACTAAATTAATGCGCAATAATGGATACGTTTGCTCGTGTATGTCAATAAAGTTTGAACTACTCTGTCGTGGAAGCCGAGGATGTTTGAAGCATTATTCTTTTAATCTAAGAATAAGATACAAATGCTCGTTTCAATGAATTTTCCCACTTTTCTCTAGCACATTCTGTTGCAAACTATTAAATTTGCCTCAACGCTCCCATTACATAGCCAATATCTTATCCCAATACTTTATCATAATGTATGGGCCAGCGCACGTATATATACGCACGCATATACATTAATAATAATAATACATATTTTATAACAAGTTAATTACTCACTTAAGCGCTTCTTGCTAATGTACATTATAATATAGATTTCACTATAGGCAGATCCGATGTCATGTGTTCGAGAAATGTCAAACTGTAACATTAAACTAGCGCCATCTGTATTGGATTGTTACAGTTATCCTTGGTGCGGTTGATATTGATATTGAAACCAGAAAAATCAAAAAAACAAAAAAAAAAGGGCAAACAAACAAACAAAAAATCATAAGCCCGTAATTCTCTATTACACGGATTTAAAAATGTTATAGAGTTTAAATCGGAACGCCAGCAAAGTTTTTGTATTTTTAATTTAACATTCCTTTTAATATCATTGGCATCGCAATTGCAAGCAACCAAATTAATCGATACTTCATAGGTCGGCCATAGAGAATTCTACCCGACCGACAGGTATTCGATAACTTATCTTTGATGTCGTCGCATTGATTTCTTCGCCCATTATGTTAATGGAGCCGGGGGGGGGGGGGTTTATAAAAAGAAAAAAATTAAATAAATACATTGTACCGTACACACAATCACCTTTATTATGCTATTTGCTAATGTAAATAATTTGGCTCGTTATTAAAAATCACATGCAAGCCGATCGGATGATCGATTCGAAGAAGCCCGTCGTCGAATCATCGTAGTCCTCGGACGATGCTCAACGTATTAATCCACTTTCTCCTTATAAATTTTACAAAGTTTCGCGGAGCACGCGAAACACGCAGTCCTCGAAAGCCAAGGAGCCAAACCCACTTAGCCTTGTTGCCCTGTCCATTTTTTAACCGTCCCGACACTTGGTTACCTACTATGATCCATGACCAATATTATCCTCCGAACTTCAGTCAGCCCCGGTCCCGATATGCCGTACCACCTCGAAATCAACGACCGATCCTTATCCACGAGTAGCCCCGTAATCAGCCCCTTTTTCCGATGCGACGAGCTTTCAAATTACGTCATTAGCGACAATGTCATGGCTAAGTGCGCAAGCGGCCGCACAAACGCGTAATAACGATATAGAATAAGTACGGCCGATCTCGGCCGATGGAAAAGGTTGACCACGTCGCTCAGGGCAGCTCGGCCAATGTTTTAATAATCCAGCGTCACCTGACACATGCAGCCGTGTGGAAACCAGAAGACGTCGGTGTAGAGTCGATTGCCGCTCCCCTCCAGGGCCACCAGTCGCTTCTGTACATACTGCTGCTGGCATTTGCTCGTGTAGCCGAGAGGCAGAGAGCAGAGGCCATCGCACGTGTCACTCCTACGGAAGATACGCCAAAAATTAGTTGGTCCTAATCACTCCCTGACAATCGCACGCTCAAACGAAGATAAAAGAGCCCTTGGCCGCCATCGATCGGACGATTGGGCGGGCAATCCGGTCGATTCTACGCCAATGTCGCTCTCTCTCTCTCTCTCTCTCTCTCTCTCTCTCTCTCTCTGCTCGAGCCACCGCTTACGTCCTGGTAATGTCCGCGCGATTTTATCGATCGGTTGCCTTTGTCTCGAATGCTTTTAACAACCGGCGCTCCTTTTAAGCGCTCCTCTACCTCCACCTCCATCCACGCACCGCGCACGCTTATCCCTTAACGCAACGGGACATTTTAACGTTAAATCAAACGACGGGGCAATTAAAGAATCAAAGCCCTTCTTAATCCCACCGGCGGGCTTTCTAACTTATCGATCGATTACTAAAGGGGTTTATTAAGTAAGGAAGCTGTGTCTCACGTGCAGATTTCACTTCGGACGAGCTGCGAGTATTTCGTCTGCTCCTCGAGGTTCACCACGAACATCCAGTTCCCCTGATTGTTGAGGGCGGCCTTGGGTGTGATGAACTGCGGCCGCGACGAGCATATTGAGACGGTGTCGGGGTCCGACTGTCTCTTGGCCCGATTGCCCGCCGCCACGAACTCGAGTAGCGGATTCCGGTAGCTGGTCTGGCCCAGACGATGTTGTCCCGCTCTGGAGCTCCTGTGGCGGAGTTCCAAGTGTCAAAAAGGAAGGCAATGAGCCGGGGAGGGACAAATCGAAGGGAGAATCGACGAACCGATGGAGGGGGGAAAGCATCGTCCCAGTCAGTGGCGCTGACTGGGCGGTTAACCGATCATCGAACGACTGCGCTATTATTACCTGTGGTTCCACGAGCCGAGTTCCGGGATTAAGGGTTCGGGATTTTGATACCGTGGATGCTGAAGCTGACCGCTCGTCGAGCGATGATAGCCGAAACTTTGACGAACGTTGAGCGTTGCGCTCTGCGTGCTGTACGGATTGGTATTTGGCGGGGGTAGATATCTGAAAGTATTGCTTAGTATTTGGTCGTTGGGCGATAGGCGAGACTCACGAGTCCCGTGTTTCGCATAATTATCACATTACCTGTTGTGTGTGGCATTGAACGGCGGCAGATTATAAAGTCGCGTTGGATTTTGTGTGTAGGATAGGGGCGACGTTGTCGGCGGGTAGAGCTCCGAGGGAAGCTTGGGTTTTGGATAGTCATATCCATAATCGTCCTCCGGCTCCTTCCTAAGGCGACAATTACGGGTAATTAATTGGCGAATCGACTATTGGCAATCGATGCTAGTCGATGGCTGGGTACGCGTGTGGGAAAAGCCCTTACCTGTTTGCATCGAAGTTGTCGAGGGATTCGTCTCTGAGAAACTTTTCGTAATCGACTGTGCCCTTGTCGATGAGGAACTTGATAAGTTGCCTGCAAAGATTGTAAAATATGTTCAATAACGATTTAATTTGCATTATTGTTATGCTTAAGAAGCGAAAAGCGTTTATTAGATTGGGTTGTAGATGAGGATGAGGATTGGGACGGGGAGTTGGAGTGGTAGTGGGAGTGGGAGTGGTAGGGGGTTAGGTGTATTCATAAGTAATTCAAATGCTCTTGTAATACTGGTAGATGAATGTCTCTATCGCGATGTTAATTAAATATGTTAATTTGTGAGGGCCGGGAGTCATTGGCCTCGTGGCCAGTCGTTTATCATATACAGAGCGTTTCGATAAGCTGGCCACGCATAATTGAAGATGTGAAAAAATTTATGATTCAAAGGAGACGCAAAAACTTCTTTAGAAAAAGAAGGCATTTCCACCGAGCTTCGAGAGCGTTTTATTATTCTTCTGAAAACGTTTGGGAAGGAGAAAATAAGAAGAAAAAAATTAAAAGAAACAAAAAAATAATGTAGGCGTAAAAGCGGGATTCGGAGATAAATGTAAATTATCGATGAAACTGGAATTAGGGAATAAGTTATACAATATCTATAGACGAGTTGAGCATTATGGAAGGTCTGCTAAGAGGATCATTACTGGATGTATAAAAATGTGGTACCATAAAATTAAGAGGTATACAAGCATTTCCGCAAGTCTCGAAACGATGCCTAAACTTTCACCGTACCCGTACCACGAAACGATCATGATGATCGAAGCTACTCGATGTTTAATTCAATAGTCACATCGTATAAAGCATCATTTTCTTATGCTTCGTCGCCCGGACAATACTTGACTGACGACCAATACTTAAGATCGATATCGCACTTTTATTTTTACTTTCCAAGTACATTGTGATTAAAGCCAAATATTGTTCCAGTCGTTAAACTTTTTAAAAAAAAATTAAGCTCGTTAAACTCTATGAACGTTGAATGTCTTTGTACGCTACTAACGAAAGTCCAATCGTTTTTAAAGAAAATGAAAATATATATAAATAAATGAGGGGGGAAAAGTAGATAAAGAAAAGACGAATTTACGTTGTATAAGTCTAAAACGATAGAACATATCTTCATTGCTTTCTGCGTTAAACAAGGACCTCTAAAGAGCTCTATTATTATTATTATTGCCGAACAGCGTTATCGAAATGAACGAAAATTTTGAATACGCAGGCCCAAGATTATTGAAGTCTTGGAAAGTCGACCACATTGAAGAAGCGACTATTCACGCGTGCAAACATTGTAAATATCGAACAATAATAAGTGTGATCAATAACTTAGAAGCTGCGTATGATCATAGCAAGACCAAGGTCACAGCGCACTGGCCATCAAGTTTTTTTGTTCACTTTGCTTTACGCAATCGTTTTTAACCTGTTTTTCATCAAATCCAATGTCCCTTTACTCCGTAATATTCGATGCCGTAATATATCACGAAGTTATTCATTTGTCTAGTTGAAATTATGCATCATTCTCAATACATAAAATCCTTTATGTATTGTGCCTTTTCCATGGAATTGGTTGTTCGGTACTCGTGACTTGGGCCCGATAATGAAATATGGTTATGTAATCGATTAATATTTTATTGTTGATTAGACAGGTTTATTGTCGATAGAATCGGCTTATGATTGAAGAGATATTCGACATCATTCACCAAATACTCACACTACATGCATACACACACACACACACACACACACACAGATATATATATATATATATATATATATATATATATATACAACTTGTCGTAATAACCCTAGGTTAAAATATGTATTACGCGGCTGTTTCATTCTGTGAATCAATCTAGTTGAGACCTGTCTTATGCAAATTTGTGCTAAGTCAACTTTTTATAAAAATAATATCTCTTGACGAATTTTTTTACCCCATTCAATTGCTCAATACTACTTATTTCAGAAGTATTTGTGCATTATATATATATATATATATATATATATATATATATAGTATATTATATTCTTCCAATGCCTTTCGACTCACAGAGCTCATGATAAAAATATAGCGTCAAGTAGTTCTCTTAAACATAATACTTTTGTGTTGTAAGCAAAACAATCGGCATCTTACTATATATATATATATATATAATAATAATAATAATAATAATAATAATCCATTGAGCCTTTATATTTTTTATATTAAAAAAATGATATCTAATTTTAGAAAAGTAGTATCTCCATGTATAATACAAGAATTAGCCAATTAAAATATTTTACTACTATATCAAAGATAATTTCAAACATTTTATCTCCATTTTAACACTTATACGTTACGAGCGATTAATTGGAATTAAAAACTTGTCAGCTTAAATTGAATCGAAATTATTTAATTAACAAAATGAAAATTATAAGTTTAATATATTAGAAGATATTAAAAAGTTTATATTAATGTATCTTTTAAAGTATATTGAAGTGATAACATTTTAAAATCTTTTTAATAAATAAAATTAAAATATTCTATTCTATTCTATGAAATTAAAAATTTTTTTTTTCCTTATAACGATGACAAGTTTCATTAATTTAAATAATTATTTTTTCTTATGTCTCGCATATATTAGTAATTTTGAAATAGAAAATATTTTAGAATAATTAATAGCAGATGTACTGAAGTATAGATAGAAACAATCCATTAATCTCATCTATGAAATATAAATTGTATTTCATACTCTCTTACTCTTCATACTCTTTTGAAATAAATAATAATAATAAATTAAAGATATATTTCAAAATTAGTTCTGCTATTATGTACGGGGCATGTGTACGTGCAAATATGTACAAATATTTTCAACATCGGCATACAGGTTTCTATGATGTTATTATCTATCATCATCATAAAATTTACTTTAAAAAATAGTTATATCGAAAATACAGTTTCATTACGCACTTAAAACACAAGAATAAATTACATTTACAAATAATTATAATGTTATAGATAATTATTTGATATATTCATATGCGTTCAACAAAATTAATTTCTTCAAAAATACTTATTCGTATATTCGTGGATTTCTATAAGTTTTCTAGCATTTATAGCAAAAGTATGTTGGTATGCGCGATATTTATGTATACACTACGCTTTCAGAGATTTTTCTTATAACTTATTTCGTTTTATCAATATTTAAGATTAGGCCAGAATACGATGTTACATTTCCTTATATATCGCTTTCAGTAATGAATTAGAGAGTAATTGAATATTAATTTTTAGTAAATTAAAAAAATTAATGCTATATGACTTGTTGCTTTTATTTTTCAAACGATTTAACAATTACTTTACGATGTAATTTGTATTGTGTAATCGTGCATAAATATGCAATAAAACGTACATAAAATATTGTTAACGAATCATCTAATACGTGCATGAGAAAAGGCATTTTTTCTTAGGCGTAAAATACAATTTCAAGATAAATAAATTAGATTATAATTTACTACAATAAGGAACTTTCTTTACTTTATGTGAGAAAACAAAAAGAATTGATTTCAATTTATTCAATTATTTAATGATAATGTTAATAATATTAATAAAGCTATTATGAGAAAGGAATTGTATATGAAACATTGAGAATAAGAATCCCAATTATTCTCGTTTATATGCTTTATTCGCTGTTCTAGACAAGTGAGATTATTTATAAGGCAAAATTAATGATCACGTTTTTAAGAAAAACAGGTATATTTACGATTTTATGAAAATTATATCTATCTTTATTGCTCGTTACGGCATTTCATTATAGAGTGCCTATAAATACATAAAATAAATAATAAAGTTTTAAATTAATTTTTCTTCCTAAAATTTATTCTTATTTCTTTATTACAAAAACACATGAATATGTCATCCTTTTCTCTTTTATAGAAGCTCATTTAGATTAATGTTTTTATGGTTCAGTACTGTTGTTATCTATCTTGATATTTTTATGTGAAAAAGAAACTTTTTATGTGAAGAAGAAAGTATTGTTACAAGAGTAGATAGTTTCGAACAGAATATTCCGGGGCTTTAATTAATAATATTAATTCAACAACGCGATAAATTATAAAAACTTTATGAAATGAGTATTTCATAATTACAAAACAACACTGCAGAATGACTATCAATCTACCTGTTGAATATCATTTTATAATTTTAAGTAATAATTTGAAGGACATGTTACGATTAAAAATGACGAATTACAATTATAACATAATTAAGAAAATTGGCGAACTATAGATATAAAAAATCGTTGAATTAAAATTAGCTCGTACCAGATTACTTTCAATGCTTAAAGCTTTCTAATTTAAAAAAAAAACAGTTGTAATAAAGATGCTTTTATGATTGATTTTAATAAGATTTTTATAAATCCTATAGCTCAATGTACATAGGCGTGGATATATAAACACACGTTGTGTGCGTGCGTGCGTGCATGGGAGAAGGAAAGAGCGCGCGCGTGAGTGTGTGTGTGTGTGTGTGTGTGTGTGTGTATGAGGGAGAGCGAGAGATAGGAAGCAAGAAGTTAGTAAAGTTATTGATAAAATGTTTTCGGTTCCGAGTCGTTCTATTAGCTAGCACGTGAAGCAAAATCTTACGCTTAAATCTACAAGTTTTTAAGGTCAAATAAACCAATATCCTGCCAAATAATTTTGAATTAACTATAGCAAAATAGCCTTAACGCTGCTTTTTATTTACAATTAATTCAAATGTGGACATTCCTTTTTATCATACAGCATGTAATCGCCCTTCAAAGGAGAAAGAAATAGAATCTTATGCCTGTTAACCACCAAACGCTTCCAGAATATTAAGCGTATAAAGCATCACTCGTTCCCTTACCTTACCATCCATTTTTAGCAATATAGCAAATAGTCCTTACTGCGGATATATATCTAAGGACTCGCAAAAGGTTAGTCCTGGCTTGGCGCATCTTGGCGTGTGGCCAGGTGGTGCAGGGACGAACGAAACCTGGATCGGCGGCGCAAGCGGGCATCCGTACTTGGAGCACGGCTCATTATGATACCCATTGGCCAGGAGCTGGAACATGTAAATGTTTTTTTTTTTCAATATGGGCCTGATAATGCGTCGAAGGCGGACATGGTCGAGGGCGGGGGGGGGCGAGGTCGATACAGCCCTCGGCAATCGAGCGCGCGTAAAGATAATGTTTTTAAATTTAATGGGCGCTCGAGCAACGCGAATTATTAGGACGGGACTTTCGATTTTGCGGACGGTTTTCGGGTGAGCCCCGGCTTTATTAGAAATGGCAATAAGCGAAATCCTTGAAAAAATTGCTCGCTCGAGAAAACAATGCCGGCTGACGCATAACTCTATTTTTAGGTGCTTTCTTTTTTTGCAGGGGTGGGGCAAAGCGGGGAAACGGCGGGGCAACGACGTGTGATGGGGTGGGGAAGGTGGGCGCGAGAGAGAGAGAGAGAGAGAGAGGTTAGGAGAGCGACAAGCGCCTGCTGGGCCAGGGGCATGGAGGGAGCGACGGAGGGGGGGGTGACTCTATCCATACACGCCTCGACCGAGCATTTATTATATTACGCTACTCGTTGCTTTAATATTCTTCGTCTTATTATTATTAATCTGTCTTTTCGAGCTTTCGTACGAGATATTCGCCGTTTCGTAGGAAGAAGACTTTATCTCGGGCGCCGGAAGTGCATGACGACGCACTTTGGATCCTATAATATACAATTAAATGCTTTTTTTATTAGCTCGCGTCCTCATGCAGTTGATACAACAATTTAAAAGCCGAGCGCACTGTTCGCGGTTCGTTTCGCTCTTTCGGTTTGCGCCAGGAGACTTGTCTTCTCCACCCCCCTCCAACCGCCCCATTCCTGTCCCACGATCATTTCACAGCCATTGCGACGCTCGTAGTAAATTTTTCGCTAAAAATCAAAACTGCTCGCAAACAATGTCCATTAAAAAATTGAGCCTCCAAATATTTAAAGCCGCATAATAGCTAATGACTAGAGCGTTGCGCGCAACTGTCAACGTTCATCGGCATTTTAAATGACGTCTATGAAAACTCATTTGTCGTATTGATATCTCAAAATGCCGCCTCGGCATTTAAACGGCTCGCGTCGACGTGTGAACCTGCCCGACAAAATGCAATCGGCTTTGCCTGTGCGTTTCTTCCATAACGGAGGGGCCGGATTTTTGTGCTCATTTTGTTCCGCGCACTCGACTTATTACGGAGCCCATTAAACAATTCGTATCGCCCATAATAAGCAGCCGAGCAGCCGTTTTCAATATTTTCGGGCTACCGAAACTAGGCCTTTCTATTACGCGACACCTATTATTCATGTGGCGCGCGCTTTCGCGCGATTGAGCAACGGACGGTCAATTCGCGTAGAGCCTCACGGAGTCGTTGAGGTAATAAAGGAAGAAAAAGTGTATCAGCTCGACCGTGCGAGCTGGCATTTGCCGAATCGCGGGTACGCGTTGCGTCGTTGTCGTCGTCGTCGTCGTCGTCGTCGTCGTCTCTCTCTCTCTCTCTCTCTCTCTCTCTCTCTCTCATCGTTCGCTCGTTAATCGGACCTCGAGAGAGACAGCTAGAAAGTGTGGGTCGCGCAGGGACCCATCGCATCGAGCTCGTTAAGCTTCGGGGCCCGTGCTCTTTCGCGATGTGCTTTAATGACAGCCGGAGAGGAGCGAGAACGAGTTCCTCGGGTGACAAAAACGTAATTTATGGCTAGCACTCTGTCTCTTTCTTTCACGTCTCGCACACGTAAAAGGCCGCGTGGTTCCTTTAGTCGAAAACGACGGGCCTAGCTCGCCAACGTGTCTCGCCCCTCCCCCTCCAACCATCGTCTTCACTTGTATTCTCTTTTTTTCTCTCTTTCTTTTTTACCTTCTTCTTCATTATTTTTATTTTTTTATTTTTTTTTCTCGTTCAATAATTCAAGCGAGCGCGACGTCAAATCGCTCGTTCCGGCACGCCGACTTTCACGCGCGTGCGGCGATTTGAAATTTGGCATGCGATCGTTCGTCATCCGCAACTTAACGGAAAACCGAAAACCAAGGAGTTGGACGGAGACGAAAATGAGTCGTTAAAGGGGAAGGGGGGATACGATGAAAAATTAGAGATAAACGATGCGGATGATGAGATGGGGGAAGAGACGGGGTGGAGATGAAATACCAGCGACAGGGCGCGTTTTTAGCGGGCGAACCCGACCTGGATAACGATGCCCGCTAGGTTGCCTCCTAGGACGTATTACTCACCGTCAGAGTGGAAAGCAGCAGCAGCAGCAGCAGCAGCAGCAGCCACTGGTGTGTCCACATGGCGATGTCGATGACGCGCGGGGGCGCACGCGAACACAAGTCGTATGGTCGAGAGGAGGATGAAGCTCTTTTGTTCCCGGTGCGCCTGGTGCGCTAAATATCACTTCGGAACTTTCCACGCGGCATCAATAATTCGGATTCTCGAAGCTCGCGAGATCGCATCGAGCGGCGAGTTTCAGCACAGAGTCGGGCGAACAGCCGACAGTTTCATGACCCCGACGAGCCGAGAGGGGCCAGAGGTGTAAGTCGCAGTGTCGTCGAGGAACGAGTCCCGCAGAGGCTCTAGCTCTGGCTCAGGCTTTGGCTCGCGGTCGACCGGGACTGCTCCCGGCGACTCGGCATCGCGCCACGCCAGAGGTCAAGCGGCTCGATCGCGTAGGCGAGCACGTGCGTGCGAGTCTCGCGCCGGTCCTCCTCCGGTCCTCTCCAATTCCAGACGGGGGCCCGCTGCTCGCAAACTGTCCGTTGATCCTGTGGAGGAGCGCGCGAGCTGCTGGGCCCCCGGTACGCGGCTGCGTCAGGGTGGGGCTATACACTTTCACTGGCGCCGCGCACACGCGCGCACATTGTACGTCGGGGGGATATGGAGAGACCACCTGGAGAGGGAGGTCGGCAGCTAACGAAGACGCGCGCGCTCCTTCTTGACCTCCTCCCGTCCTCCCTGTCGTCATCGTCGTCGTCGTCGTCGTCGTCGTCGTCGTTATAGTCTTCGTCGTTCTCCTCGTCGTAGCCGGGCATCTTCGTCGTTGTCGTCATACCAGTTGCTATCCATCCCCTCCTCGTTTGACTACTCACACTTTTTTTTCATCAGTGATTGGCATTCCGCGGTTTCCGCCAACGAACGCGTAATCTACGCTCGCCGCCAACCTATTGACGCGCCAAAGTCTCGTTAGCCAAGGAGACGATGCCTCTCCCTCGTTATAACCCTGTCGTTCAGTAACCAAGTACACCCTTTTTGGGCCGCGCGACCTCCTCTCACTATGCGCATTTTAATGTCCTTATATATTTATATGGTTTATATGCTTATATCTTTTTCTTTTTCTTTTTTTTTTTTTTTTGTATGCGCATTGAGATCGAGAGTCGATGCCGGATGAAAGTTGAAAAGTAGAAGAGCCGTACGTGACGCCGAAATTGTTGGCTTTCTTACGTGCGATGAGACAGCCGCTGTCAGTATGCTGTTTCGTGGAAGTAATCGATTAGCATCTCTTTCTCGGCGAAGATAATGGCTTGAGCTGGCATTCGCCGCTAGCCCAAACGTGACAAAGGATCGCGCTTTCGCGATTGATTTGGAATTGAATTGCTCGATTGGAGGAATTCGTACGGAAAATAAAGATCGATTTGTTTTACTTAGACGCTTCTGTGAAAGTCTTACTTTAATCTCGCTCGAGCGCACGCCTCACTAGCACACTTCGTGAATTACAATTGCGGTCTCAATGGCCGCTGCTTTTTTCTTCTTCTTCTTCTTCTTTTTGTTCTTTTTTTTTTCATCCGTTTTTTCCCCCTTTTTTTCGTTTCTTTTTTTTCTTTTCCTTCTTCTTTACGCTTTCAATTATTTAACTAAACCGCACGTTACTATTGTATATCAATATGCTGCTAAAGTAAAAAGTAAGTAACAATTGTACCTGTCCAAGCTATCATTATATACCGACAATCGTAGGCATATAATGGACGTAACGTTCTACAAATGTTTTCTCGGTACAATTGCCATTCAACATATGTAACATTGCGAGCATTGCTGATTTTCATTTCGCAATGATCGTTTATTATAACCGGTGGCATTGCAATGTTACTAAGGTAGGGTGTAATTGGATTAAATGATGCGAGTTAATGTTGTCTTTCCTCTTCAAACTCTTGCTCCGTGGATAAGTATTTGAATAAAATTTAACAGCAATTTTAGTGGAATAGCCGTATCGTCGTATTTGTAAATTATCCGACCGTTAAAATAATACACGGAGATTGTAAATTTAAGTTAAATTTGCAACGTTATGTTATTACAACAATAGTTAATGATTATTGGTTCTCTGTACACGTAGGCGATTAGTTTATGAGCGTGACAATGAATATAATCTCATTATTGTAACACAGATTCCTCAATCGACCGGCCCTTCGCTCTTACAGATATGTATATATATATATATATATATATATATATAAATGTCGAGTTAATTGAATAAATATCTCGCTCGAGGGCATATTGTATGGTAGGCGGTGAGTGTGTACTAATGTACGTATTACGTAAAATGAAAGTGAATATTTGATCTGAATTTAATGAATGTCATTCCTTTAAAATTATATTATGATACTATGACGACGACAAAGATGTTAGAGATACTTGAACTTTCTTTTTCGCTTCGTGTATGCCCCTATCTTACAGCTGTTAAGATAGGAATTGTATTAGGATCTGTGGGCTTGTGTATTTAAGCTTATAATTAAATATATTTATAAATCTAATACCAATGTTCCATTGTTATGAATAGGAATAGCTTTAATAAGTACAAATTGCATTATAAGTAGGAATCGGATGAGTGAAAATGAATATTAAAATTGAATTCTCTTACGTTTACATTGTTACATAAATTACGTAAAACGGAAAGGATGCCTAATCTTAATGTAAAATAACTTAGATTGTGATCGTAATATTTATAACTGTCAATAGGACTATAAGGAATAATATGAATATATTAAAATACTTTCACGAAGGTTTTAGACTAGAATTTTTTATTTTGACAGATGGTCTTTAGTATTATACAAAAATTATAGGAAAGAAGAAGAAGACATAATTCAAATATTTTAAACATATACGAACATAAGTTGAGCTATCGATTGTATTTGTCTGTAATTAGATTATCGACAAATATCTATGAAACTTTAACAATTGCTATATGCTACTGGATTTTCGTGTTTTACGACACTCTATTATATGTGTATATATATTAATATATATATATATATATATATATATATATACGCACAATCAAATTATTTCACAAATAAATATAATAAACAATATAATAGGTGGTGGTTTTATGCATAATGTGAGTACTAATGTGCAAATTTCAAATTTGGCAAAGTAATGCTTGTTCATATTTGTTGTTGTTTAATGTTATTACCGACATTTGCAATTAGATATTTAAGAAAAAAGTTATTGTGCTTCGATGTATTTAGGAATAGGTGAAATTGAAATAAAATCACTCGTAAAGATAATGCTGGAACAACCTGCCTGATTGCTTCATTTTTACGAGGTGTAAGCTTTCTCTCTATTATAAGCTCTCTCTCTCTCTCTCTCTCTCTCTCTATATATATATATATATATATATATCTTTTCTTTTCGTGTTTCTTCATCTTATCATTTATGCGTACAAGTACACCAAGCAACATTACTTTATAGGTTGGTGAGCGATTGTCTAATTCACAACAACTGTTTCATAATTATTGTAGTTACATACTGCCTAATAAGTACATATTTTTTATTCTATTAAATTTTTCTCCATCTTACGAGTATTACGACTGTATAAGCGAATGTAAGCCTTAGTGTAAGAGTATGCCAGGATGCCATAGTTTTTTAGGTGATAATATTTTATTAGGCGATAATAATCCATGTTAGTGGTACCCGCACAACTACAGTAACAATGTTTTATTAGTCTCTAAAAGACTCGAGTACTTTTTACATTTGTCTCCGCGAAATACATCAACATTCTTCAATAATCTTCAAATAACTACAAATGCATACTCAAGGAACATGAAAAATTTTGGATGAAAATTGAACGATGTTATTCTATTGCAATGCGTGAAATATCCAAAATTAATGATCGACAGATGTTTAATTCTACATATGTCAGACTTCTAACGCTGAGATCTCATGTAAAATCAAAAAACAAGAAAAACCAAAAACAAAAACATAAACTACAAAACCGACAGACAATTGTAGAAGTATTGTGATGCTCTCGTCTGTCGATTACAATGCAAAATGGCACAAGTTCGTATCTCCAATTACTCAATGCATATTAAATTCACTCTCCAAGAGTTGAATTTTTTCTAAAATTTACTTTTTCTAACGATCCTTCACATCGTTCTTATGAGAAAATCTTATGAAAAAATTTATTGAAACGTAAAGTTGTATAGCATTACTCGTTAATAAAGTAATTCTTCATTTTTTATATTACGGTTCGAACGCTGTGATGAAGAAATGTCGGAATAAGTCGAACGAGCGAAATGAGCCGAGTACATCACTTTTTCTTAATCTTCCTGAATTTACAGCCGAAAGAATATCGTCGTTTTCGAGGCAAATGTCAGGTCTTTTTACATTGTGGATGGAATTTGGTAAAAGACTATCTGGCCGAATCACCTAGTCGTCAAGTAGCTCGAGAGGCTTTGTCAACATTATCAACGATGCCCAAGAAACGAGGCGAGCGATACATCATTTTCACGATCTTTAACATTCGAGTTTAACATTAGATCGCAGATTACGTCTCTACAGTTGATTTCTAATCTTTCATGCTGAATGGCTGGTGTCGAAAGACGCGTACGAGGAGGAATTTATGAGCGAGCGAGGCATCAGCCATGAAAAGTTTGTTAAGAATGGGAGAGATAGGATAAAGATGATGAAAAGCAACGATAATGTGCGAAAATCTGTCGAACATTCGTTCTTCTTCTCCTCGTTTTTCCACAATCAGCCAAGCCACCACTGTACAATGTCCAATGTCTTGGATCCCGTAAAACAAAACACTAAGTTGCAACCGATGACCAATGCTTAATTAATTCTTCTCAAACGCCACCCCGAACAGCGCGAACCTTTCACCTCTCGGGACGGTGAAAAAAGGTGGCGGGTAACGTTCGTCTCATCCTCATCGGCCGATCAATCATTACCGGCCACGAAGAAGAACGCTTCACACCCTCTCCGACCAATGAAAAAAGTCTCGTCCCCAGCCCTGTGCCCCTAGTTCCACGAAACCGGCGACATTATCGTTATTGCAATGATCAAAGGGTCACGAACTCGACACGAGGAGCCAGTTGATCGTTGAAAGAGGCAAATCCGCTGTCTGCCTGCACAACGCGACCGATCGACATTAAAGTGACGATAAGCGTCGATTAACGACTGTTGATACTGTTGGCACTGTTAATGTCCAGATGGCGGGGAAGCTGGCGGCCAAGAAGAAGACCTCGTTGGCGTAACGATGACGTGACGGGACTGTAAAGTGACTGGGTAGCGACCGAACGATGACGGTGTCGTGACGGTCGGGCCGTCCGACGGTATCGCACTCTCGCTGTTTCGCTCGTCGCTAGGAATTCCTGGGACTGGTGACGGAACGCCATCGATGGTACCCGTTGTGAGCAGCCGGCCGATCGACGAGGACTCACTCCTCGAAAATCGCAAGACGACGTCCTGCCCGGAGAGCTTGGCTCGCGCGATAACCCCAGGCTCTCGACCACCCGCCCAAAGGTTGGCTGGCTCGCTCGCTCGCTCGCGAGAGGAAAAAGTCGTAGTATAGTAATGCCGCGAAGAGCATAGGTGGAAGGGAGAGGAGTCAAGGCAGAACGACTGGTTGCGGCTGGTTTACGTCCGGGTCTGGCTAGTTGCGAGATCGCGAGGAGGTTAAGTGTGACTCCGGCGTTTGGCAAATCGGGCGGGGTTCGCAAGTACCTAGCTATCTTCGCCGTTGAGCCGCGATAATGGTGAGCACAACGTCTACGTCGACCTGCATCGACGAGCTCGTCCAGAGCGTCAGCTTGCATAATCCACGCAAGCTGCTCTTCAATGGTTATGTCCTGCCGTTCGTCTTTACGGAGCTCGTCTGGATCTACGGCTGGATATTTATCTACGGGCTTGACGATTATTACGAGCCAGGGCTCGTGGGCATCGCCATCATCGGCGTTCTCCAGATATTTGTCTGCTTGTGCTGCCAGTGGTCCGTGCACGTGCACGCCTTCCTCAACTGCAGCTGGGTGAGGCTAAGATTGTTTTTTCTTGTGACTTGGTGTCGGGTGGTAAGCGTTGCGAGGCCTCAATATGTTAGCGATTGTCTCGACGTGTCGTGGGAAAAAGGCGGCGACGTGGGTCTTACGGTGTTACGGTGCTGTGTACCCACGTACACACGTTTGCGGCGTGGCACCATTGGAAGAAAATACCCGGTGTCCGGAGGATTGTCGCTTTGGTTAAATGTTTGACGCGTGCTGAGTGATTGATGATGTGACATTCTCACGTTTCGCACGATTGCACCCCTTTGCACGATGTTTTCGTTTCTTTTAATGCCAAAATGACCTTGTTAATTATTGTTTTTGTTTTGCTTATCGCAGACCAGTGATCCATACAGGGCATCGATAGCTAAGGTAGTCCCAATGCCGAATAATGGTAGCACCGAGCTGGTTAAATTGCACGCGTCAAATGATACAGAGCCTTGGTTTATCTTTCAAAAAACAAAGTACGTTTGGGACGTTTCGAAGAAAGAGTTTCGAGGACTTCAGTTTCCGATTAGCCATTCCGTTAAGCATTACAGTCAGTGGAAAGGTTACGTGGATGAGAAGGAAGTGAAACAAGCCGAGCAGAAATATGGTCAGAACAAGTAAGTTGTAGTGGTAGTAAGTGCTCTTTGCCAATTGCGAGCGGAGCGTCTGATGGTCGTGTCGATTTATGTTGCAGTCTTGAAATGGTGGTGCCGGAATTCTGGGAGCTTTTTAAAGAACGAGCTATCGCGCCTTTCTTTGTATTCCAAGTCTTTTGTATGGCTCTGTGGTGCTTAGATAAGTACTGGTATTATAGTTTTTTTACACTTTTTATGCTTGTCATGTTTGAATGTACATTGGTTCAACAGCAATTGAGAAATATGGCAGAAATAAGACAGATGGGTAACAGATCTTACATGATAATGGTGAGCTGCGGTTATTGGCATTGCACAGTCTGCATTTACATTGTACCATTTATGTTATTAATTTTCTGTCTTGAAGGTTTATAGAAATAGACGATGGAGATTAATTTTTACGGACCAACTTGTACCCGGTGATATTGTTTCAATAACGAGATCTCAAAATGATAATCTTGTACCTTGCGATATGCTCCTTCTGCGAGGACCGTGCATCGTTGACGAGAGCATGTTAACAGGTTACTTACTCTTGATTAACTAAGAGCCCATTTACCGTCGACTAATCTTCTTTAGATTTTTATTTCACGTATGCTTTTATCGCAGGTGAATCTGTGCCGCAGATGAAAGAGCCGATCGAAGATATCGATGAAAATAGAATAATAAATATCGAGGGAGACGATAAGCTGCACGTACTGTATGGTGGCACAAAAGTTGTTCAACACACGTCTCCGACTAAAAATTCTACAGACCTACGAGGTATGAGGGATAATTGAGAGCTCGCGTTCGACGCCACTCTCTCCCCCTCCCACCATAGTAATATATGATTTATGAATATTATTATTTATTTTCAGCCACAGACAATGGTTGCGTAGCATACGTATTGAGAACGGGCTTCTCAACTTTTCAGGGGAAACTTTTAAGAACTATATTGTTTGGTGTAAAGCGAGTTACAGCAAATAATTTGGAAACCTTTGGATTCATTTTATTCCTTCTGATATTTGCGATCGCTGCATCAGCATACGTCTGGATCAAAGGTTAGCATACAAGGAAATACAATGAACTTATAACCTAAACACTATATTACCAAACATGTTATTTAGGAAGCGAGGATCCAGAGAGAAATAAATACAAATTATTCCTGGAGTGTACATTAATTTTAACATCCGTAGTACCACCGGAGCTGCCTATAGAATTATCCCTAGCAGTGAATACTTCATTTTTAGCATTATATAAATTGGGTAATCGGTGAACATTGTACTTCACGCGCTTAATTAATCTTATCTAATATAATTCTACTAACGACTGACAAAAACAATTACCTTCCATTGCTTTTAGGTGTTTATTGCACAGAACCATTTCGCATTCCCTTTGCAGGAAAAGTTGAGATTTGCTGTTTCGATAAGACGGGCACTTTAACTAGCGATAATTTAATTGTGGAGGGAATAGCGGGCGTTAAGTAAGTACATTCGTCAATACACTCTGTACAATTATGAAAATGTGTTACATTAAAAAATCAATTTTAGTGGTAAAACAGAAATAGTTCAATTGTCAAATGCGCCCATAGAAAGTGTTCAAGTATTAGCGACTTGCCACTCATTGGTTCAATTAGATAACAGTATTGTAGGGGATCCATTAGAAAAAGCTACGTTAAAAGCAATTAATTGGAATCTCACCAAAGGTGTGTGTTTGTGCGTTATATATATATATATATAGGCAAAAAATCAAAAGACAATAATTTAATGTAAAGGAAATATAATGGAAATACAATGTTTTTGTTAATAAATTAGGTGAAGCAGTTATTCCGATAAAAGGCAAATCACCTGGACTTAAAATTTTTCAAAGACATCATTTCTCATCATCACTGAAAAGAATGAGCGTTGTTGCAGGGTATACATCTGGTGGATCATTGGAATCTAAATTTATCATCACCGCCAAAGGTGCTCCAGAAACACTAAAAAGCATGGTAATAATAAAGTGAATATAACGTACACGTGGGAGGCTAATCGAATTTGAAATCAAACAACGATTTGCTTATTCGAAAGTACTAGAGTACATTGAAAAGTATTTCCATATCTAAAGATTGGCCAAAAGTGTTATTTACCTTTGCGTAACAGATTCATATTCATTCGCTACATTACATTAAAATAAATAAGGTGGAAAATAATTTTGTATAACTCATACTTAATAACCCAATTGTTTTATAGTTTTCGTCGGTGCCGCCTAACTATGACTCGACCTATTTAACCTTGTCCCGACGTGGTGCAAGAGTTCTTGCATTGGGATATCGTAAGCTGCCGAACTCGACAACACTGAATGACTTGAGGAATTACTCTCGGCATGATTTGGAAACTAATCTGTCGTTTGTTGGTTTTGTCATTATAAGCTGCCCATTGAAATCGGACTCAAAAAGCGTGATTAAAGAAATTTTGAATGCGTCGCACACCGTAATAATATTATTCCGTTCAATTATTGAATCGGCAATAAATAGCCAGCCGATATAATAATATATATATATATATATATATAATCATTATATTATGTTGTATTTAGGTGGTAATGATTACCGGGGATAATCCGCTTACGGCCTGTCACGTTGCGCGTGAATTGCATTTTACGGAAAAATCCATTACTCTAATATTAACAAATGAAAAAGATACTTGGAATTGGCAAAATATCGACGGGCAAATAAAACTTTCGTTACAGGATAATGGAAAACAAGACAAGATTTGGGAACAATACGCCCTGTGCATTACTGGAGAGGTACAGAAGTTTTTTATTAGTAATACTGAGTTTTTTTTTTAAATTATTTATTCATTCTGTGAATGATTTTGCATATGTCATTAATCGTAATCAACAGTGTATTAAAATTTTTACAATAGGGCTTAAATTATCTGAGAGATCATAAAAAAGATTATTTATACAATATATTACCACACGTTGTTGTTTTTGCACGTTGTGCTCCAAAACAAAAGGAATATATTATTACTGGTTTGCAAGAATTGGGATATTCGACTCTTATGTGCGGCGATGGGACAAATGACGTTGGTGCACTTAAGCACGCACAAGTTGGTAGGTTACAAGCGCATAATTAATTAAATATACAATTTGTGGTATGATCGATATTGTGATTGTTTCTAATGTAAATTTAGGCGTGGCGATTTTGTCAAGCCCCCCGAAGCGCGAAAACATTCCAAAATCCGTGTCGACCTCTAATGATAATATGCCTTCATCAGCCGCTAATGGTCAGAGAATGCATCCACGACAGCAACAAGTAAGTAATGCCAAGAGCAAATTAGATAAATTAATGAAGGACATGGAAAAGCAACAGCAGTCAGTTATCGTAAAGCTTGGAGATGCATCGATCGCTGCGCCTTTTACCAGCAAATATTCATCAATACAATGCAGTAATTATTATTCTAATGTAACGCAACGTTTGGCGAATTATTATTAATGCTTACGATTAATTAATGTCAAAAAAATAATGTTTCAGTTTGTCATGTTATTAAGCAAGGCCGATGCACGCTAGTAACAACTTTACAAATGTTTAAAATATTAGCTTTGAATGCTTTAATATTGGCGTACAGTCAGTCAGTACTTTATTTAGATGGAATAAGATTAAGTGACGCGCAAGCGACATTACAAGGCATTTTACTCGCAACATGTTTTTTATTCATCTCGCGTTCCAAACCTTTAAAGACTTTATCCAAACAGCGACCATTACCAAATATTTTCAATGTGTATACAATACTAACGGTCTTACTTCAATTTCTGGTTCACTTTTGCTGTTTAATCTATCTTGTCCGAGAAGCGGTTATACGATCACCAAAGTAACTATTTTGCAATTATAATCTTATACTGTAAATATATTTGAAAAAAAGAAAATTTTTTTTTCATAAGAATTTTAATTTGTCGTTTCAATTCGATTTAGAGATGAGAAATTATCTGCAATTTTATCCGTAAAGTCAAATGCTACCGAAATTTCTAATTCGGAAGATAGCGACGAGGAGCACTTTGAAATGAATTTAATCAACAGTACCGTTTATATAGTATCTATGACTCTCCAGGTATCGACATTTGTAGTTAACTATAGGGTATGTTAATAATTTTACTTACGCTTAAAGCTCCTTTCAAACTTAATTGAAGTAAATGATTCGAGAGGCGTATAATTATTCTGTTTTGTAGGGTCAACCATTTATGGAAGGCTTATTAGAGAATAAGTTACTTTTATATAGTCTTCTGAGCAGTACGGCAGCTATTTTTGCACTTGCTCTTGGAGTAATACCAGATATTGCCTTGCAGTTTGAAATTGTGGATTTTCCAGTCGATGTAAGTTAATTTACCAAGTTATTAATAATATCGGAATGTATTGTGCATGTAAAAATACTCACGCCTATTAATATCTGATTGCAGTTTCGAAGGATCCTAGTCCAAGTACTCATTGCCAACTTTGTTCTGGCCTTTTTCGTCGATAGAACTTGCCGATGGTTATTTGGCGAAGGGAAATTTCGGAAACTGTGATTGATCTATCATTAATGTGTTTAATGACAAAACAGTGTTTTATAATGCTACATAAGTGCAAATATGTTTATTGACTGTTTTTTTGAATAGGTAGTTACCAAATGGTGTCGTAACACCGGTCTAATAAAGTACTGAAATGTACCGATATATTGTTGAAAAAGGAAGTCTCGAAAGTTAAAATAATAGTGATAAAATGTTGTCTGATTTATTTATATAAAATGTGCGCGAATCCTAGTTTAAAATTTTAAAATTCCAATTAACAATGATAACTTATTTTTCATAAATTGATCATTTACGTAAAAATGTGGTAGTTACATTTAGCAGCAGACAGCCATATAAACAGCATAAAATTATGAATATATAATTAAAAGTTTTCTATATCTTCTGACTTAGATAAAGTTTAGATTATTTTTTAAGTTTCCGTGACTAACTAACTACACATCCCATCTCTCTCTCTCTCTCTCTCTCTGTCTCTCTCTCTCGCGCGCGCGCTTGTACAAGCTCATTCTTTAACATTGCGTGTCCATCTTTAGCTTTACCTATCCCTTTAGCCATCTTTATAATGATTTTTCTTACTTGTCGTAATAAACGGAGGAAGATCTCTCTTGGCAAACATAGTCACCATGTCGATAGTTAACTTTGTATATTTGGCACTGCATTTCTTTCTATTCTTTAATCTGAGTTTTTTATATTATATATCTTTTTTTTTCTTTTTCTTTTTCTTTTTCATTTTAGTAATTGGGATGAGAAGATTAAAATCACAATAAATAGATCATAACATTACATCCAATAGTAATTTCATTGCGTTCTAGTTCACGTTTTAACTATTGAAATTATGAAAATTTTATTATCTATATATTTTTATATCAATGTAGCATATTAGTTACTTTTTATATATATATACGCTTTTTTGGCTTTCGTGTGATTTGTATAAGAATCGCTTTCATTTCCCACTTATCTCGCTCCTTGATATCCCTCCTCACTTTTCACTTTTCCGTCTATCTTTTTCCCTTAATATCGTTTGCATGTAAATCTTGTTGATTTTTTCACATCTGTATGTACTTGTTTGATCAAGCCTATTATACCTAAAAGTCGTAGAAAAGTCACGTTAATAATATGACCTATCACAATGCCGAGATGTGAAGATTGTCGTTTATTGAATTTAGGACAACGATGTTTTTTTTTCCTTTGTTGAATCGTAGTCACAATTTTCTATTCAAATCATGTTAGTTTTTTAAAAATCGAATTATATATATATATATATTTTTTTTTTTATACTGTACTGTTTTTTTTGTATTTTGTTTTTTAATACTGCGACTTGTTTATTAGAATTATGTTTTTAATAATGTTAATTATAATTATATAATCACAACAATTAAATCAAATTTCTTTTTATATTTATACCGAATCGAAAACACCAAAAAAATAATTTGTTTTAATCAGTTGGAATGTAAAGATTTAAACAAGAAGTTTGTAATATTGATATCACAGTTCATCTGAAAATATCGATAACATTAACAATATAAGTTGTATAGTAAAATAAATTATATAATTATATATATATACATAAAGGAAATGATTCACTGCGCGTAATGGATTATATAAAGTTGCATGTACATCAGTGTACTATTCTCGTATATCATTGCAATATAATATAAGCACTTTCGAATTTTGAAATAGTTTTTGAACATAAATGTATGATGTCGTGGATTTTACAATATTAAGCGATGAAATTTTAGCGTCCATAATTAATATTCAACAATAAATCATAGTTAGTTTAGTAATCGAGAATGTGTTAACCGAGCTACAACAGCCTTGACCAAATTTTTAGTTGTAATTGCCTTGTCTGTTAAAAAAATATTGAACGTACATATATATATATTTTTTTTCTTTTTTTTCAACAACCTTATTGACAATGCTAAAATTCAACCAGTCACAGAGCATATAATTCAATAGATTGCAAGAATTCAAGACTAAGATATTTTCATATTACATCATCCTTAATATGTCATAAACATAAAATAACACTGAAGTAAATGTCTTTTAATGTTAAAATGGAATAATTGAGAAAGTGCTAAAAGATAGATGTGAAAGAGTAACGTTAATTTACATTTATAGATAATATTTGTCATATTATGTGAATTCTAATTGGTATAATTACAAAATAGTCGACTGAGTAACCGAAATATGCAATATTCTATAACATTCGTATTTTTACCATGTATGATAATACTGATAATAAGTTCAATTTTCTGTATCCCAACATTATATATACATATATACGTACAGTTAAGCAATTGCTTAAGCAGCTTTAAAGACATAATTCACATCGTCTCTTATCGTGTTTGACCTGGATCTTAATGCCTTATGTACTTAGTCATACTTTCTCCACAATACACACAGTCTAATCTACCCCCGGAATAATTTTTTTTCACTATTGCAATCTCGTCAATTATGCTGAAATCAACTTATGCGCAGAGTTTTTGGTTATTATATTGAGGATAGTTCTTCAGTGCGAATTTAAGATCAAAAGCTTTTTTGGAGCATCCTTTAAAAAATCACCAAATTTGGCTTACTTCACTTTAGAAATACTAAGAAATGAATGTTAGGCATTGCTTGAGATGAAATTCATCAAATTTATGTGAATTAATAAATAAGATCCGACCGAACGCAGATGACTATCAAAGATTAATTAAAATAAAAATTAAAGAATTATTTGCGCTCAAGAGTAAGAATATCTAAGTTGAAAATCCTTTATTTTCACGATCATAACCATCCCTCCAATGCTTACACAGTAATTTTCGATTTCATCCAAGAAATCTTTGTTTAAATATTTTCCTTTATTAACCATTATTCGAGTCACTGTCACTTATAAATGATAAAAATAAAGAAATAAAACATAAAATTCTTCTTCTTTTGCTAAAAATTACCTTTTACGAAAAGCTACACTAAAAGAATTAAAACTCATATTATAATCGCTGCGCCACTGTGGGAAGTCATAACTTTGAAGCCGATGAGAGATCGGCTATAATGTAATTGTTATACATAATCTGTGCACTTACATCTAATCAAGTAAGGTGCATTAATGTGGTATGTCATTGTTCGTTGACTCGAATATATCTGACTCATAGGCAATTGTCAATCGGTGAGTCACTGAAAAATGAAGCTCTCATCATTGAGTTGTACCATGATTATTATCTAGTATTGAATATACATACATATATATATATATATATATACGAAGACAGGTGTTATTAATTAATCTAAAATATTGTTGAAAATAGGGCCAGCGATAAGAATTCGTCATTTTCTGTAATGGAAATGCCAAGATTTTTACCCGAATACACTACAATCGAAATCATCAAATCAATTTCTCAGAAAATCTATAATATAGTATTATAATAGACGATTATGCAGATATTATAGAAAAATTTCCAAAATTCGCCTAAAATTTCTGAAATTTAAAGTGCTTTTATGTGCGCGTCGACTTATATGTTTCGTAAATTTCATTGTATCAAACAGATTTATATAAAGTAATAGTTCGTAAAAAAGTTGAAACAATCGATCGTCAATTCGAGGGGCGAATAAATATTTTTTTCTTGAGCTGTCTTCTAAATCCACCGCGTGTGTGTCGTCGAGTGGCGCCCACCACACATAGATAAATGAATTCGAGCTGTGATGCTTATGGTCTACACAATTGAGAAATACAAACACGGTTTATAATTCACAGAGCGTCAAAATTATTTTCCCTAATCTTCATCCTTTCCTATAATATCATTAAGCGCAATATTAATTTTCAATAACATGTATACCCGCGACAAAATAAAAATCGGTTTTCTTATCTACCGTAAAATTTTGTATTTAATATATAAAAACATTGTGGAACTCGATAAAAGACTCGTACGGTGAGATTAATTGAAAAGCGTTTGACAGCATTACATTTTTATGAATTTTTTTTTCGTACGCATGTGCTGTATATTTACGTGTACATTCACGTGTGAAAATTTAATCAAACGGATGGTATTTTATATCGTTATCGAGTTTGACGCTTTTTCTATAATAGCATTTAGGAAAGACGAAATTACGTATAAATTAAAACTTGCCGACAAGAAAAATGAATAAAAATTACAGCAATTGATCAAATATTTTGTTAATCGAGTAGTTAATTAACAAATTGTTCTTTGTTCCATGATTAAGTGAGAATATATTTTAATATTTGTACGATCTTGGAAGATGGTGTAAAGAAAAATAGTCATTATATATTTAATAAATATCGTAAATAAAGAATTTTCATAAAGTAGATGTAAATTACATCATTTTAAACTAAAGAGGAGCGGAGAGGAAAGAAAGTAAGAATTGTGTATTACGCACGAGTACAATAATATATTATTAGTATTAAATGGATAATTTTTTGCGAGAATGAGCTTTGAATGCATAAGAAAACATGAATATGAACAAAACACAAAAAATTCGAAATTTTTTTAATTCTTACTACGACAATTTAAAGCTAACATTGATTCCATTATATTTAATTGTCTTTCAACAGCTACTGTAAAGCTGTAAAATATATTGTTGATAATAAAGTTAGACGACTAATATTCCAGCTGTTGGATATGCGAATTACAGGTTACTCACTTTGCGCGAATGTGCTCGAACCAACAAAAGATAATAGACAAAAAATTTGGAATATTCTTTCTTTTGCTAATTTTATGATGTTCATTGATTCTTTATTGTATTGCACACAGGCGCAACAACACATCCTTTTGAACCTTATTTGTATTAAAAATTTATTTAAAATTTTTTTTTCGCTCATGTCGTCATTATTAATCATCGTTTGTACTTGGATAAACGAGTCTTGTAAAAACACCGAAAATATAAAGGCATAAAACTTATTATAGTTTTGGTGCACAAAACTTGCCGTTACTAATGTCTAAATATAGATTGAAATTTAGTGAGTAAGCCCAGTGGATTAAAAAGTATAGACATATATTGTAGATTATCTATCGATCGCTTCACCCCCAATTGCGTATAAATAATTAACACGCACGTAATTATTTAGAATTATGTGAATATTAGCTCCACGCTTGTTTTTCGTGTGTCGTTGGATAAAAATAGAAAACATATAGCGAAGAATGGTATGATAGAGGGAGAATAAAAAATCGCTTAAATACAATATACTGCGATCATAAATGTA